CTTGAGCTGAGCCTTCTGAATCACTACTGAAGAGGCTTGGGTTTGCTCCATGACTGTTGCCTGTGAGTTGGTAAAATCATGCACTCCCCTTCACACCTGCTACTGTAACAATAGCCCAGAGTTCCTACTCCTGTGCTGGAGAAGCTTTACATCCATTATCTCACTGGATGGTCACCATAATCCTGAGAGGGGGAGGGGTAACATAATCGCCATTTTATACATGAAAAAAACTACCTCCCTCAGAGCACTTAAGTCAACTGCTGTGTCAGAGCTGAGATTCCATCCAGATCCATTCACCTTGAGGTTACTCTGACTTAGTTAATACAGGTTATTTATTATTATCATTCATGTGGTGGTCCAACAAATGAAAGATAATAGTTTAGATATGCATTCTAGTACTAAATTTTTCAAGGGTATTCTGACCCACCTGTTAATTGTTTTCTTGGGCTTGAAATTGCTAGAAAGAGCAGATGTGGTATGGTAGGCAGAATAATATGCCCTCCCCAAGATATCTCTGTCCTAAACCCTGAATCCTATGACTATGTTACCTTACACAGCAAAAAGAACTTTGCAGATGTGCCTAAATTAATGATTTTGAGATGGGAGATTATCCTAAGTTATCAGGTGGGTCCAAAATAATCACAATGATTCTTAGTGGAAAAGGGAGGCAAAGGGCCTCGCCAGAGCACTGCACTATGAAGCAATCCGCAGCCTCTGCAGCACGGGTTCAATCCCCGGCTGGCCAAGGAGCAACACACATGGCACAGCAGACCTCTCCTGTCTCGCCCACTGCTCCCCTCAACAGTTTATTTCAGTAGATCTGCCTGTTCCCCGCTCTGTCTCTGGTGAATCCTCTCACCCCTTGCATCTCTGGCCTGTACCCCAGCTCTTGTATTCATAAATAAATAAATATTTAAAAAAAAAAAAAGAAAAAGGGAGGCAGGAAAGAGCATCAGAGATGTGATAACTGAAGCAGAAGGGAGAGTGATGTGATTGCTGTCTGGGGCTACAAACTAAGGCATCTGTGCAGGCTCTGAAAGCCAGAAAAGGCCAGGGACCAGATTCCCCACCCACAGCCCCAAATCAATGAAGTACTGCCAACACCTTGATTTTAATCCCACAAAACTCATTTCTGACTTCTGACTTTCAGAACTGTAAGACAATACATTTGTCTAAAGTCACCAAATTTGTAGTAATTTGTCATATCAGTGACAAGAAACTAATACATATGATGTCTGAAAAGAAGGAGCTACCAGCTGGCCCTGAGTTTTTCTAAAGCCACCTTCATGATCCTCAGGAATTTCCCTTTTGTTCTCTTTGCAGCATTAAAGCGCCTTAAATTTATTACTTCATCACCTAATTAATAGTTACTATGAAATTCAAAATTAAGTAGGACTCAGATCCTTAAGGAGCCTACAGTTTTAGTGGGGTGGCAGGACACATAAACAAGTTATTACAAAGCAATGAAATATGTGCAAAGACAAATACCTTCAGGAAAAGAATCCTAGTGCTTTGAAGCATGAACTCTGCCTGGAGAGGTGGAGGGGAACAAGGAAACTTGGAGAAGGACTGATGTTACAGTTGGGAGTGTCTAACATCTTTGGAATTCTCAACTTTGTTGGGAGAGGCTTTGGCACCTAATCTAGATCTGGGTGTCCTCAGACCTGGTCTTTCCCTGAACTGTGGCCCCTGTGGAATCTCATTGTTGCAAATTTCAACACTGAGAAGAGAGGGAGATTCTGAAAGTCCAGGAAGGGAAATTGTTGCTGATACCCACACCATTTAAATATAATGTATTTTTGTTTGGGATTGATGCTTAGACATAGGAAATTTTTTCTCAGTTTTCTAAGTCTGTCTTCCCATTATGGAAAACACAAGATATGGACATAAAATCTAGATCTATGTTTCATGGACAATACATAGCATGTTACACTTAAATATATTTACTTTTGTAGAAGATTTCCAGATTGGAAAGGAAGAAGTAAAACTGTCAATATATCGGATGAAATGATTTTGTACATAGAAAACCCTTAAGATGCCAACAAAAAACTATTAGAGATACTAAACAAATACAGTAAACATGAACTAAATATACAAAATTCTGTTGTGTTTCTGCACACAATGAACAAACAGAAAGTGAAATGGTGAAGATAATACATTTATGACCACAGCAAAAATAAGAAAATACTTAGGAATAAATTTAACTAAGAAAGCGAAGTGTCAATACACTGGAAACTGTACAATACTATTGAAGGAAATTGAAGACACATAAAACAGAAAGACATTCCATGTTCATGAATCAAAAGTTTCAATATTATGATAATGGTCATTCTACCTGAAACAATGTACAGATTCAGTGCAATTCTTTTTAAAGACCCCAGTAGCACTCTTCACAGACTAAAAGAACAACAAAAAATCTTAAAAATTGTATGTGATTTGAATCACAAAAGATTCAAATACCCAAAACAGTCCTGAGAAAAGAGAAAAAAATGGAAGTACTGTGCTCCCAACTTCAAACTGTACTGCAAAGCCAGGGTACTTAAAACTATATAGTACGAAATTTAAAAAAAAAAAAAAGTGGTGGGGGACACAGATCAGTGGAATAGAATCAAGTCCAGAAATAAAACCACATATATTTGGGCAACTTATTTATGACAAAGGACCCAAGAGCACACAAGGAGATAGAAAAGTCTCTTAAATAAATGGTGTTGGGAAAATTAGACAGCCACATGTAAAAGACCAGACCACTATCTTATACCAAATACTAAAATAAGTTAAAAATGGATTGAACTTTGAATGTAAGAGCGCAAAGCATGAAATGCATAGAAGAAATATCTGGCACCACGCCTAGCAGTGTAAGCAAGAAAAACTTTCAACCCTTGTAGACCTCAGGTACTTTGTAAAACAAGTTCTCATTAAATTGTTAAAGTTTTTTTCCAACTTTAAAATTCAGTTCCCTAGACATCTATGTTTCTAAGGAAATGGTGCCAGAATTACTATGCATTTCCCAATTCCCAACAGATAAAAAACTTTTTGACATCAACCTTAGTGATGTCTTTGGTAACTCATTCCCAACAAGAGAAACAAGAGTATACAAACAAATGGGACTACATCAAATTAAAAAGCTTTTGTACCATGAAAGAAATCATCTTCAGTTTTAATTTTTTAAAGATTTATTTTATTTATTTATGCATAAAATAGTTGGAGTGTAGGCCAGAGGGGCAGGGTGGTGGGAGCATTCACCAGAGACAGGGTGGGGAGCAGAACAGGCAGAGCTACTAAAATACACTGCAGAGGGGAGCAGCAGGCAAGGCAGGAGAGGTTTGCTGTGCCATATGGGTTAGCTCATTGCCGGGGATCGAACTCATGCTGCAGTGGCTGCTAATAGCTTCATAGTGCTGAGGCTTAACCCCTTACGCCAACAGGGAGACCCAAGAAATCATCTTTAAAATGAAAAGTCATCCTCCTAAATAGAAGATATTTGCAAACTACATATCAGATAAGTAGCTAATATCCAAAATATGTAAACCACGTATACATTTCAACAACAAAACATATGACCCAGAGAATTTAAATATACATTTCACCAAAGAAGATATCCGGATGGTCAACAGACACACAGAAAGATGTTATACATCATTTATCATTAGGGAAATGCAAATCAAATCCACAATGAGATTTTACCGCACTGGCTAGAAATGGTAATTATTAAAAAGTCAAGAAAAAGAACGTTGGCAGGGATGTGGAGGGGAAAGGAACCCTCTGTCCACTGTTAGTGGGAATGTAAATTGGTGCAGTTAATCTGAAGGTTCCTCAAAAATTAGGAACAGAACTGCCCTGTGATCCAGTAATCCCACTTCTGGGCATTTACCTGAAGAATATAGAAACATCAATTCAAGAAAACATAGGCACCCCTATGGTCATTGCCACAGTATTCACAAGAGCCAAGATGTGGAAACCACTCTAGTGCTCAATGAGAGATGAATGGATAAAGAAGAGGTGTTGTCTATACATAATGGTATTCAACTCATCCAGAAAAAAAAGCAGCTCTCTTGGCATCTTGTGACAACATGGATGGACCTTGAGGGGATTATAGCAAGTAAAATAAGTCAGAAGGAGAAGACAAATATGCTATGATTTCACTCATTTATGGAATGTAAAGAAAACAAAAACAAACCCTTAGACTCTGACAACAGAATGATTACCAGATAGTAGGGAGAGGGTTAACAGAAAGGGCCACAATCTTGGGGGTGGACACTGGCGATACATTTGGTGGTGAGTGTGGTGACAAAAATGTACTCTTGGAACCTATACCGTGCTGTAAGCTAATGCTACCTTAATGAATATATATTGCTTTGGATACAGAAACTTATCACACAAACTACATCATAACGTCTTCTCATTATGATTCTCCGTCCCTACAATTACTTAAATCCTGAGAACATGTACATACTATTTCCTCAGAAACACCAGTATACCAGGAAACCGAATTTCAAAGCTAGAGAGGACTTCTTTCAGCCACACATTTTTGGAAAGTGATTTTCGACCCGTTTATCAATGTTTTTGCTGAGTAATTCAACCGACTGGGGGTAACTGAGTGTTTATTATCACTTAATTGGAGGAAGATCTAAACAATTCCTATCATCTCTTAGGAGGCTTTTACAAGGAGATTCAAAACGTTGAAATCCTGCTCCGGTCTGAGGCGACCACAGGTGAATGAAAGACACCTGGGCCCGCCGTGGCCTCACACGCGCCAGCCCGGGGAGCAGCGCCCCGGGGCCCGCAGAGCGGAGACGCCCCCGCAGAGTCCAGCTTCTCCCCCGGCTGCCTGACGCCTGGGGCCGGGCGCTGGCGTCGGCTCTCCAGGGCCCTGGGCTGCGGACTCCCCCGCGCCGCCGCGCGCGCCGGGGTCAGGTCGAGGACGCGGGCGGGGCGGCGAGGCGGAAGGGCCGGTCCGGGGCGTGCCCACGTGACCGCCCCGCGCGCGGCCCGCAGCCCCCCGAGCCGCCGCCGCCTCCTCTCCGGCTGCAGCTCCCGGCGTGCCCCGCACTCGCCGCCGCCCGCCCCGCCCGCCCCGCCCAGCGCCTCAGAGCCGGAGCCCGAGCCGCCGCCGCAGCCACAGCCGCGGGCACTATGGTAAGGCGGGCGCGCCAGCTGGGGGTCGGGGGGCCGGGGCGCGGCGAGCCAACCCCCCCCGCGCGGTCCAGCAGGGCCCTGGGGTGAGGCCGCCATTTTAACCCTGATTTTGGCCTCAGAGGTGGGCGCTCCTGCGCTGCGGCTCCGCTTCTCCCTCTCCCTCCGGCCGGCGGTCGGCCTGCCCTCCCGCTCTCAGGCCCGGCCCGGCCGCTCCCCGGATTCCTGGGGCGGGCGTCCCGGCTGTCCCGGCTCCCGGCGGCCGGAGGGGTCGCGGCACCGGCGCGGAGGCCCGGGGCGCCCGAGGGTCTGCGGAGCTCACGCCCGCGCGCGCTGCGTTTTCCCGGAGCTCCCTAATTAACAGGCGCGCCCTGAAATTGGAATGTGCTCTGAAGTCCTTGCTGAGGGCTTCTGGGGAGGGTCGTCTTGATGGCCTGTAATGATAAAACCCTTAGGGGGAGGTGAAGGAAGTGGCAAAACTCTTAAAAATGCTTGCTCGCGGTGCAAAGCTTTTACTCTAAACCCGTTAGTTTTGAAGTGTCTGCTTTTGAGCTGAGGCAATTATGTTGTAGCCGTGGGCGGTTTGGAGTTCACACTTGATTCTCTTTCCTTATGAGGAAACGGTACTGGCTAGGATGACTTTAAAGAAAAAAATAGTAGACGCATTAAGTGAAATCCAAAAGTGTTTTTTAAGGCCTGCAGAGTTGACACAATACAGAAGGTATTTTTGCTGCTGTTCCCTGAAGCTCTGACATCACGCATTGAAATAGAAAGCATTTCGGGGATGGGACAGCTTGTATTTGGCCCTTTGCTATGCCGCCCATTTACTTCAGTCTCCAAACCCTTTTAGAAAGCATGAATGGGGCAGAGTGAGTTAGATTCCATAGGTGCTACACACACCGACACTTAAAATGTGGCAAACCTGATTGGATACTTGCAGAGTAGGATGGAATTTTTGATGTCCTGACTGAAGTGAATCCTGTCTAGGCAGATCGTAATTTTGGTCAAAACTGAAATACTTGTTCTGAACTACTGTCCTTTGTTTACTTTCAGGCTTCTGGAGTTACAGTGAATGATGAAGTCATCAAAGTTTTTAATGATATGAAAGTAAGGAAATCTTCTACACAAGAGGAGATCAAAAAAAGAAAGAAAGCAGTTCTCTTCTGTTTAAGCGATGACAAAAGACAAATAATTGTAGAGGAAGCAAAGCAGATCTTGGTGGGTGACATTGGTGATACTGTAGAGGACCCCTACACATCTTTTGTGAAGTTGCTACCTCTGAATGATTGCCGATATGCTTTGTACGATGCCACATACGAAACAAAAGAGTCTAAGAAAGAAGACCTAGTATTTATATTCTGGTGTGTAAAAACAAAAGAAAAAAGTACTTTTGAAATGCAAGGATTGTTATTTAACATAGTTAGTTTTATCTTTGTTTGTCTTTTAAGTGGGATTCAAAAATTTCTTTTTCTCTCTAGGGCTCCTGAAAGTGCACCTTTAAAAAGCAAGATGATTTATGCTAGCTCTAAAGATGCCATTAAAAAGAAATTTACAGGTACAAACACGTGAATATTTTGTGAAGAATTATTCCTCCTTAATTATAGTAAGGTCATTATATAACTTTTTTTTTTTTCTTTTTAGGTATTAAACATGAATGGCAAGTAAATGGCTTGGATGATATAAAGGACCGTTCCACACTTGGAGAGAAATTGGGAGGCAATGTAGTCGTTTCACTTGAAGGAAAACCCTTATAAAATGACAGTCAAGTGCCATCTGGATCTTAAAGAGCTTTCCATTTCTCCCACTCAGTCATTTGGAATATTATTAGGTGTTTGTTTTTCCCTCTTTCCACTCATTTCTTCCAACACAATGAATGAAGGAAATATCATTCATATACGCAACCTGTCAGTGATTGCCATTAGACTGTTTACTACCATTACTTTTATGTAGAATCCAAGGAATGCCTTCCTGTCATATTTTAGCCAAAACAACTGGTTATATGCCTTCCTTGCAGCAAGCACTACAATGAATGTGATTGTCAATGTGAATAGCTTAGATTATTGCAAAGGGTAAGCTAATTGAATGCCTTGAAAGTATTATCCACTGGTCAGATGGTAAACTTTATTCAGTATTATTTATAGTTGCACTTGATTGCAGTTCTGTGAGGCTCAAGCATTTATACACCTCACCTGCCTTGGCAAGCCTATTTTTGTGACATGGCAGCACGGATATAACACTATGCATTGAAAGCACTTTTTTGTAATGAATTTAACGCCCCCACTCCCAAATGGAATGCCAATTAAGTTTTGTTAAATATGTCAGTTTATTCTAGTACCTCAGTGTTCATTCCTGTTACCTGCATATCTTCAAGGAAAATAGCTGTTATTAATACCTTTTTTGTTTTCCATTGAGTGTACACTACTGAATAAGTGTAGGAATTTTATGTTTACCATGTAAGTCTTGCAACAGTAAAGATATTTTGAATATCAGTCATGATGGCAATTTCTGTATAAAAGAGCCTTAAATGGAACATTGTTTTTGAGCTCAAACCCCATCCTTACAAAAATGGCCACGTTGCAATAAAAATTGTGGCATATTACAGAACCTTGCCTTGTTTTCCTTGTACATTTTGCAAAATGGTATGTGAAGCAACTCCTAGGGTAAATAGCTATTATTAATCTCTACACTGGTCATTTAAGATTTTTTTCGTACAATATAATATACAATATTTTCCAGTTTGTTAGGCTTATTTGATTTAAAAATATTTTATCCTAAAGCCAACTAGTATAAATACTGTTGTTATAGAGAGATACATTTATAAGCATTAGCTTATTTCCTATGTGTTAATACGAAGATCAGAAATTACTTTTTTTGCCCGTTATCATGACTCGTCAATATCTGGTTTATTCTCTGGATAAATTAGGGTGGTTATTTTCTGATTCACATTTACATTTTTATGTAGTTGAATGGTAGAAGCAGGAGGCTTGTATTGTATATTTGGTCATAATGAAAATTATTTTTCAAATTTGCCCCTCAAAAGTTTAATAATAATTCCTATTTAGGAACTTTGATTTCAGCTACTATTTCTTAATCTGTTTTGCAAATTGAAGGGAAAAAAGAATTGATCCAGCAATCTTAAACATTAATATGAGATCTGGCAGTGTTCCACATTACTCTCCTTATAGAGAATTTGATCTGCTCACTGTGAGCAGTTTGCTGTTAGCCAGAGCTATTTATGGCAAACACATGCTTTTGTATCTTGTCATAGTTATCCACAAATGGCAAAACTGGACTTGATTCTACTGGTATGCAAAACAGGCATGCTAGTAAGCAGGCAATCATGATTTAAAACTTAATTCCATAGCTCTGAAGACTACTCCTGTCAGAAAACAGGAAATGAAAAACCCTCTTTTCAAGTGTATAAAAGTAATCTGATTGTAATTAGATTTTCTCAATATTTTCAAAGGCATTTTCAGATGGAAACAAGTAGAAGTAAAATGTCTAGGCTTCCATTTAAAATTATATGAATGACTTGGGATCTTTTGCACCGAATAATTTTATTTCAGGCTTCCAGCTGTCACTGTGAGTTATCCTGGACATTTTGATGACTTTTTGGTAAGGCAAAACTCCTAAGTAAAGCATGAGAATACTGACATGTACTAAAACATGTGTAACTGATACTAGTACCATGGAATTATTTTTATTTCCTCATTCTTCTAAAAAATAAGGGACTCTTAAGTTTATATAGTATATTTGTTTTCATAGCTGATTTCTCAACTTTCTTAACATGCCTCTTTAATTCTATAATAATTTCAGAGATTATATCGTGCTTTAAACTGTGATACTTTGTGTTTCTTAGCTTGACATAACTGATATTGATATAGTTAAGTTCATCTTTGAAATACATCTTTGTGCATAAAACCAAAAATAATGATAAAATCAATGACTTACATTCTTGAGACAAATTTGGCATTTGAAATTTAATTCAATGGCAAATTTTATTTTATAATGATTTACAATGAACCAGTGTTCCAGTTAGCTTTATAAGGTATATGGTGCTAATTAGTAAAATATTGAGGACAATATTTGAGGCAATATTTTGCTGCTAGCTTGAAAAATTATGTTTTAAAATAAAATATATGAAACTATATCAAGCTGTTGAGATGTGTTTACTTCAGAACATTAACAATTTTAAAAATTACTGAAGATCAGAAAGGCACCATTATCTTTAGTGTTTTTTTAGGATTTTAGTTGGTATACTTTTTCATTTATAGATACCAGTAGTCTTTGAAAAATGAGTGTTGTTGCAATTAATTTTAACATTTCCAGACAAATGGGAACAGTTGGCATTTGTCCCAAACTGACTGTCAGCTGTTGTTTTCCATCATTATCTAAAATAATATGACCAGCATTGTGCAGTTGATGTGCTTTTTTAGTAGGCTGGAAGAAAAGCCTCTTTACTGGGTTTGAGTTTTTCTGATATATTATCTTCGTGGCAGCTAATTTATGGAATCTAACAAATGAGCTTTGGAAGAAAATGTGTTTCCTTGGTAGGAATAATCTCAGCAATGGTAAATCATGGGTTGAGAACTTTTCATTCGGCTTCCTACTGTGAAAAAATAATCCAGTTCCGCTCTTCATAGGTCTTAATTTTGCTTGCAAATTTAATAATAGTTTGAGGTCTAAACAAATATGAATATTCATTTTTCAATGAAAATTAAGGCTACTGGGGAATGTGTTCCATCCAAAATATAAAAGTCATATTCAGAATCCAAAGAATTTGCTTTTCAGACAGCATGAATTTATAAATGTTCTGTCTCAGTGAGTAAAGAAGTTTAAGGCTTTTCTTTTCCTCTGGAACATCCAAATAATTTCTTTCATGTAAATTGGGAGTCATCCCTCTACTTCAATTTCATGATATAAAGCAATTGGGCAAATTAATCTCACTGAGCTTCACTTTCTTAATTCATAATTTGAGAATAATACCTGTCTACCATACCTGGTTGCTGGATCAAATATGAAGTACCTTTTGGAAAACAAGAAAGTACATGTAAATGTAGTAACTCGTTTAAACTTTTCCAAATACATGTAGTTAAGTAGATAAAGAGCCACATTAAAAATAAGATTAATTGTTCCCTGAAACTTCTTTATTGTGTAACTATTCTGTTTAATCTCAGTTTTAGGACTAGTTGATATGTAGCATTTGTTTTTCAAAATGAAGTGAGTATAGTTTTCATTTTACATGTCATCAATCAGATACTAGGTTTTTTTTTCCCAATTTTTTAAAAGATTTATTTATATGTACAAGAGCTGGGGTATAGGCCAGAGTTGCGGGTTTTGGGGGTGGTGGGATGTGTGTGAGAGAATTCACCAGAGAGGCAGAGTAGGGAGCAGAATAGGCAGATTGACTGAAATACACTGCTGAGGGGAGTAGCAGGTGAGACAGGAGAGGTCTGTGCCATGTGGGTTATAGGCGTTGAACTTGTGCTTCAGTGGCTGATGATAGCTTCATAGTGCTGAGACTTAACACCTTATGCCACCAGGGAGACCCTCCCCAAATAATTTTCAAGTAAATAATAAAAGAGGAAATAAAGTTAGAGAAATACTGTTTTAGAATATTTGGCATAAATTTATGATCCAGGTTATGGAAACTGAGTGTATATTATTAATACCCTAAGTTCGTGGTTCTCAAGACTCAAGAACTGGTAGTTCTCTGTCAGATGGTGTTCACTTGAAATCCATCTGATACCTTTATGTTCCTTTAACCAGCTAGCTATATTTCTCTGCTACACATGAGAAAACTGAAGTTGAAGATATTGAGACATCCCAGCTACTTGGTTCAATGAATAGCAAAGCTGGTTCAATGTACTTTTCACTCTGATTATATAGTAATATACAGTGAGTTACTAGTTTCCTTTAAAAAATAAAAGAGCAGCCTGATTTTTTTGAGCAAGACATAATTGCTAATTAATATGTTTTTAAGGTAGTATCTCAGGAATATTTGGGAAAAGTCTTGGGATTTTTTTTCATAAGAAAGCACATGCTCATAAAAATCTGAAGTATTTTTACACGAGATTTTCTTAGATGTTTTAGTATTGTAAAACTGGGGTTGTGGAAAATCAGAAAGATTGTATAGATGTTTTTCAGAAAACTGATAGCTCTTAATCCTTTGCCTAAAAGTTGGTTATGTCCCTCTCCATTTCTCTGCCCATCTTTTTTAAAGAGAGAAAGTATTTTGTGGTAGAGTGGCTATATACTAGTATCAGACTGCCTGAGTTATTTGCATATAGAGCTTTAATGCTAATTAAATGATTTTAGGAAAGTCATTTAACTTCTCAGAGCTTTAGTTCCTCTATAAAAAGGATTATTGTACCATATCTCTCATAAGAGTGTAAGGATAATTGAAAACACCTGGGATAGTTCTTGGCAACTAGTAAGCAGTGAGTAAGATGACCCTAAAATTTACAGTCCAAACCAGGACACTTTTTGAGAGTGAAAGGGAGAGCTATTAATAAATATGCCAGGACAACAGGCTTAAGCTGGGATAATCCCAAGCAAACCAAGAGATGTCACTATCAAGAAGTACAAACATATCAAAATGCAATACTTAAATAGAAGGAACTGTATTGAAACCTGAGGTCTTTAATTTCAATTATATAATGCACCAGCATACTAACTTGAGAGTCTTCTGATGAATATAGTGGTAAGTACTTAACCCTATAGAAGGGTCAATTTTGGCTTTTTATGCCTCTTACAGCTTTGTTTTCTTTGTTTGGCTTTTTATGTCCTTAGCGCTTTCTTTTCTTTCTTGTAGATGCTCAGATACTGTATTTTGCTGTTATCAGTATACTTGGCTTTAGTGGCTTTTCTTAATTGTTGCGCTTCTTTTCAAAAAAAGGATTTATTTATTTATGCATACAAGAGCTGGTGTGTAGGCCAGAAGTGTGGTGGGGTGAGAGGAGAAACCAGAGACAGAGTGGGGAGCAGAACAGACCACTGACTGAAATATACAGCTGAGAGGAGTAGCCGGCGAGTCAGGAGAGATCTGTTGTCCCATGTGGGTTAGCTCCCTGGTCGGTGATCTAACTCAGGCTGCAGTGACTGCTGATAGCTTCATAGTGCTGAGACTTAACTCCTTGTACCACCAGGGAGGCCCTAATCGTTGCTTTTCATCTTGTATATTTATAAACCCATTTTTGCTAGAACTGTGTATTAAAAAAGTGAATAGATCAGAGTTTGAGAGCAAAATGCCTGAGCACGTTTGAACTATCTAACATGGCTTTTGGCTATTTAAAGAAATTTTATGTACTTCGTAGGTTTTGGTTTTATTTACAAATAAGGTGGTATGCAGAGACACACTGCGGGGGGAGGAGAGGGGTGGGGAGAGGAAGGACTAGAGTCAAAATAAGGGGGGGTGCAATTGTATGGGGAATATAACCATAATGAAAATGCATACATTGTGCAAAGATGAAAAATGAGTAAGAATTATATAAAATAAAATATTAAAAATAAAACATATAAGGTGATATGTAAGGTAGCTAAACAGTAAGATAAAGGAGTCATTACTATATCCCAGTGAGATGTCTAAAATATTAATATTTAAAGAAATTATAGTTTCCTTTGCCTACCTGATTCATTAAAGGCACACAAAGGAATTTGTTCTCATTAAGAGAAAAATGATTTACTTAATCCAACTTTTTTAGATTATTGAAGCAAAAATAGGATATGAGAACATGCATTTAATAAGGAAAATAATTTTAAAAATATTAAATGCCAATTGACTTTTCAACTTACTAGATTTTTCTTATATGTACAATAGACATGTCTGTCTGAAAGTATCTTTTTATTAATTCATCTAAATAGATGAATACTTTTCCTTTATTCTTAACTTCTGATAGCCTGCCAATTTGATCCTGTGTAGTCAAAATTTTAGTAGTTTATTTGGAATAAAGTTTTGGAACAGGACCTCCCTGGTGGCGCGAGGGGTTAAGACACTACCTATGAAGCAATCTGCAGTCACTGCAATATGAGTTCTATCCTCCGGCCAGGAAGCAACACAAATGGCACAGCAGACCTCTCCTGTCTCGCCTGCTGCTCCCCTCAGCAGTGTATTTCAGTAGATCTGCCTGTTCTGTTCCCGACTCTGTCTCTGGTGAATCCTCTCACCCCCCCGCCCCCAGCCTCTTGCCTGTACCCCAGTTCTTGTATGCATAAATAAATCTTAAAAAAAGATTTGGAACAAATTTTTATTCAATGTGTAATTTCCTCATCGACATTAGGAAGCTGTCATGTGGATGTATACTATTTTCTTGTAGCACTTTTCTCATTTTACATATTCTTAATAGTGGAGTATCAGATATTTCCTTTGGGAAGCTGATAGTTACTGAGTAAATTGCTAAATTCCTGGGCATATGGCCCAAAGTCTTCTGTGTGTTCCTGTGAGCTGATGAGACCTTTTTTTTTTTTTTTTTTTTGATTAGCTGCTGACTAAATTACCAGATAAAAAGAAAGGCACTTCCCAAGCTGGCATAATTGGACAGTTTTATAAACGGTGAAAATGGTAACAATATTTTGTTCTAGAGAGCATAAAACCACATAAAAATATTAAAATATTTATGTCTGGTTATACCATACAAAAAAATAAGATGTTGTGAAAGACTTGGAGACTTCATGAAATAAGGGGAAAAGAATTTGCGAGGATTAAATTAAAGATTAAGCCTTTTACTTGTAAAATAACTATGGGTCAAAACTTGAGAGTAAAAGAGTCATTCCCTTTACTTATTACTGCTTATTGATAATTATGTTAGGGAGAAATGTATTGAAATTTTATATATTTTCCAATTTATGTGAGGGGTAAGGAGATGACTTAACAAAACTGGTGTTAACCATTTCCCTAATTTGAAATATATCTAGATTTTAGAATATATCTGAATTTTTTTTTAATTTAACTGATTTTTAGGAGTAAAGAGATTGACTTACAATTTTTAATATTGTATTCTGAGTAATGTGCACACTGAATAATTGCTGCATTAGACTTATTTTTGTTATGAAATTGATTTAGTAGCACTTTCCTCCTAATTTTGGTTTTGTCTTTACCTGCTGAAGAAAAATGCTTTTAATTATAGTCATTTTTAAAAAACTTTTATTTA